CAAATCATCTCAAACTGGTTTCTTGAACATGACAATGAGTTCACTGTACTCCAATGGTCACCACAGTCACCAGATCTCAATCCAATAGAGCACCTTTGGGATGTGGTGGAATGGGAGCTTCACAACAAATCGACAACAACTGCGTGATGCTATCATGTGAATATGGACCAAAATCTCTGAGGAATGCTTCCAACACCTTGTTGAATCCATACCATGAAGAATGAAGGCATTTTGAAGGCAAAAGGGGGTCCAACCTGGTACTAGCAAGGTGTACCTAATAAAGTGGCCAGTGTGTGTATAACTATTTTTTGTTTTGGGGTTTAATATCACTTTAGGCAAGAGCTAAGAGAGTTTAAAGAATAACTCCGCTTTTGATGAGAAAAAACATTCCTCACTGGGCCATCAATGTACATTACAAGGATTTTTAACAGACTTTGTTGCAGATTCCTACCTTTTGTTATTCAGAATAAAAAGCTGTTTCTTTGTCTGTGTCCAGTAAGTGAATCTGCAGGGTCTGCATACCTTTAGGCTAGGTTCACACCTATGCAGATTGCATTTGATCTGTTTCTGCAGTGCTTTTTGTGGTGAGTTTTTGCACATGCGTTTCTTATGCGTTTTGCATTTTGCGGGGGTTTTTTTGCCAACTTGTTGCTGGGCAGAATAAAAAGCAAAAGGCATCAAAACCGCATCAAAAAAACATGTCAAAAATGCATGAAAAATGCACTACATGCATTTCTGCAGAATCTCCATTGAAGTCTATTGCACCAAAACGCAATGGTTTGCATTTAAAAAAGTCCTTGACCCTTCCAAAAAAATGTGGATATGTGAATGTGTCTCACAGGAAATAATGTTAAATGGACTGTAGTGCATTTCTGCAAAATGCAAAATGCAACGCAAAAGGCTTAGGTGTGAACCTAGACTAAGATATGATTTCCCTTTGAGAGTATCTCACCAAAAAATAACATTTTGTTGCAGGGGATGCCAAAAATCTGATTTGTATTATAGTGCAGACTGGGAGTGTGTACAGAATGCCTCCAAGTGCCCATATTGAATAGCATTTTACAGAAAGTGACAGTGCTGCAGATTGAAAAGGGCTTGACAGTAGAGGGCATGACCAGACACTGCGGACCTTTAGGGAGGGAGGGGGAGCGGGTACCTGAATTTGACAGGTACCCACTCCCACTTCCGCGGAGTTCTCCTTCCTTCTCCTTTGACAGCCGGGTGCCCACTGCGCATGCGCGAGAAGCGCTGCACTTTGTGAATGGCCCGGCATCTTTTGAGACCTGTCATGTGTCCCAGAAGACACCGGACCATTCACAAAGCGCAGCACTTCTCGCGCATGCGCAGTGGGCACCCGGCTGTCACAGATGCCGGGGCGGGAAGAAGCCGGTGCGGGAAGACTACAGCGCTGGACCGAGGAACAGGTGAGTCCCTGCCGCAGAGAACAGCTGAGCGGCCGGCCCGGTATTCTGAAATGGTGGCGGCGGAAATACCGGACCGGCCGCCTTATATTTGCTCCATAAGATGCACTGACATTTTCCCCCCTTTTTTGGGGGGGAAAAAGTGCGTCTTATGGAGCTAAAAATACGATAATTCTTAATAACATTCAATTACAGTATGACTGAAATGTGTTGAAATTGTATACACTATATTTTTTTTACTTGCAATTTCTTTTTCCTGTGAAAGTGGAGTTACCCTTTAATATTAGAACACTGGAGAAAAGACTGCTGAATATTGTGCTTTTCAATGAGTAATACATTAAAAAACAGTCATTTCAAGCCAAAAAAAGCCATTTGGAAAAACAGCTACTATGCATTTGACTATATTGTAAAATCAAGTTAATGGTATCTTGGTAAATAGGTATCAATGTATTTAAAAAAAAAAAAAAAAGAAAGCAAATGCTTTGTAATTCCCAACTTTTGAATGCTAGTGTAAGTCTTCCAAATTCTTTGTTGACAGATCACAGCAGAACGTTCAGATATATCATAAATATATGTCAAGTATACTTAATACAACCACCTAATTTTATTAACCTATTTATCAGTTAGGTGTGGACTTGACTTTAAAAAGGAATCTGGAAAACATTCTCATAAAACTCCAGCATCATATCACAATAATAAATTTCAGCTAGAACCTCTATGCTAAGAAGCCCACAGACTGATTTATAGGCAAGACTCATTATTTCCACAATATTCTTTGGTAAGATGCATACATCTGGATTTCTAAATAATAGCTCTCCAATTGTATTATAATTTAAACTGCAGAATTTACTTAGAAAGGTGATAAAGACCAAAGAACAAGTGGGAGATGTTCTCCTGGAAAATATGCATTGTATGGAAGTATTGCTTAAAGTTCCAATTATAATTACTTATCCCAGAAGGATAGTGAAATATACATTTCCTCTAAACACGAGATAAATTCAGGAAATGGGGAAAAAATAACTTCTGTAATGTTATACACAGTGAAATGATAAATTTTTTTTTAGCTTAAATGCATTTAGGCGGTCAAAAGATTGAGGTGGTCAAAGATTGAGGATATGCAAATGATTTAAAAATCTTTTTAAAAATTAAATATTGTGCTTTTGTTATAAGTTTGATGTCATACTGTAACAAAATTATAGATTTAACAAGAATAAGTCTTCATACTTATTTTGATGTAAAGGCATTCATTGAAACACAAATCCCCATTCTGTGTGCCATTTTGGGTCTCATTTATCAAAATGTCAGTATTAAGAACAATCTTTATTCTTCCATCGCCTCCAATCAGATTCAAACTTTCATATTTGGGCTGTCATTTTTGAAGGGAGGTGAAAATCCCACTGGTATCTGTGAGGAAATAACAATTATTATTAGTGCTGATTGAGTAGCCCCTTTGACTTCAGATGGGTTTTACTGTAGTTTCAAACAATTCCTTTTGAAGTAATTTCACGCTATTTATATACAATGAGGCTGTTTTAAAACATGGCTAGAAAATCATCTTTTGGCAGACATTTGCTACCTGATTTACATGAATTGAAGTGAAACTCAAGTGCCATTGATATGCTCACTGCAAAAAAAAAAAAAAACACATATTATTGCTTAGAAACAGAAAGTTTGCATCATTTTTATTTCTGGTAAGCTGTGGTGGGCTTTCCTATATTGTCTTACCTTACCTGATCCCATCTTGTCAGGAATCTCATATAGTGCGCACAGATCTCGGCGCACACATGCGCACACTGAGGTCTATTTAAACCTGAGATCTGCCTAGCCTTGTTGCTGGATAGTCTTCAGCTTTCACTCCGGCATTCTGAGTTCCTGAAATTTTGCCTACATTGTCACTGACCCAGCTATGGCTGAAACCTCTCTTTAGATCACCCCTGCCTCTAATGTCTGCTGCTCACCAATGTTATCAATCCTGGCTTGAACTTCTGACCATGATTCTGCCTTCTGACTTGGTAACTCTTCGCTAGAACATTTTTGACTCCTGCCTATTCCCGTCTTGATTGTGATTCTGCACCTGTGTTTCTGGCTGCTGCCGAACATAGCTTGTGACCTGACTGCATACTGCCACTGGGAGGATTCCTGTGTTCCCAAGCTCAAGGTCATGGCTCTGGCTTCTTCACCTGCTCCCTCCCAGTCCTTTTCTTGACTATTAAGGTTGCTTGGATGGGAGTTACGCAAAAGGCTGTCCTTGTCATCATGGTCTCTGCAGTCTGGTATGTTACACCTCCACTCCACCGTCCTTACCCTTCCAACAACAAATCAGGAGGAACCATGTTCACTACTAGCTGTCAGTAAATAATCTCACATTTACCACCTCTTCTCATCATCAGGCATTTACCATTCTCACAAACACATATGTACTGGCAAGCATACCTTATTTATTATATGTACTTATATAGTGCTGTCAATTTACGCAGTGCTGTACATATTTATTACAAATTCACAACTGTCCCTGCCCTCAAGGAGCATACATGATACATGTCCCTAACCGGGGGCGGACTGACCATTTGGAAACTCGGGCTTTTAGAGTTTTGGCAAGGAAACCAGGAAGAACTCGTTTTTTCTAGTAGTTTATAGCAGTAACATAGGGGCAGGGGCTGACCGACCATTTGGGAGCGAGGGCCTGGGGTCAGTAGGGGGCCCCATGAGATGCCCCTGGTACCTTTCATAGGCTTTTTTGGGTGTGGTTTGAGTGTGGGTGAGGACACAGAGGCCCCATGATCCTCTATTGCCCGGGGGCCCCATGAGTTGTCAGTCCGCCCCTGTCCCTAACACATCCATACATATACATACTAGGGCAAATTTAGACAGGAGCCAATTAACCTATCCGCATGTTTTTGGAGTACCCAGAGGAAACCTACGCAGGCACAGGGAGAGCATGCAAACTCCAGGCAGGTTCGAACCAACAACCGTAATGCTGCTAGGTGGAAGTGCTAACAACTTAGCTTCTGTAGTTTGCACTGCTTTTAAGTTCTGTTGATGTTTAACCTCCCTGGCGGTATGATTATTTCAGATTTTTTGTGCTGAAAGCGGTACCATTATTCTGCATGGAAATATGTAGTTTTTTTTATTGTAGGCTGTAATTTTTAGGAATAACTCACTGAAATCTGTCCGAACAAGAGTCTATTAAACATTCCGGGTATGATAAAATTTGAAACACGAAATCATAAATTATAATTTAATAAATAATCATAAAAAATAATAATATAATAATAATACATCTAATTCAATAATATAATCAAACCAAAAACACTGAAATTTGAAATAGAGCGCCAAGTTTGTACATTGCTGAGCAAAGTCGCAAAATCGGTTTCAGTGTCTGATGACGAATTTTCCCACGAATCATTATCACTCAAATTCTGCAAGTGGTTCTGATTTACTATCGCTGTTCTCTAGCTGATCTAAACCCGCTTTTGACCTAAAGGGAAACTTTTTGGACGCCATGGACGTTTCTCAGTTTCCAGGCAGAAAGAACATACAAAATGCAGGCAGGGCACAGGACAAAGCACTAGGGACAATATGTATGTGAAATCGGTTGAAACAGCAATGTTTTACTATGAAAAATGTGTTTTGAAAAAAAATGAAATTTTTTAAAATTTTCAAATTTCCCGTAGCCGGCGGCGGCGGCGCCCGTACGTCCCGACGTCACAGGGACCGGAACACAGAAGCCGGATGCCGGCATCGGCCGGAGGAGATGGCCGGGGACGCTGCAGGGGACACATCGCGGGAGCGAAGGACAAGGTAAGCTCTGCAGGGACTCCCTATGCAGCGCCGCATGGTAAGCCCGAGTGTAGCTCGGGGTTACCGCTTTTGGTACTGACATTTTACCCCGAGCTACACTCGGGAATACCGCTAGGGAGGTTAAGTGTCACTCAAAATTTCGTACTGTCCGTGATACTTTTTTTATTTACACTAACATACAATTTTGAGGACAAGCTTTCGGGGGAATGTCCCCTTCTTCAGGTCCAAGCAGTACTGAATACAAAGGTTTAGCAGAATGTTAGAAGAGATGTAGGGGATGAAAAAAAAAAGAGAACAGAGATAAGACACAGCAAAAGCAATGTCTGGGGGGGGGGGGAACAACACTCACAGAGGCAGTCATGCTTGAGGTGATAGTCATAAATATGTTGGATAATGATTGAGGAATCCCATGTCTAAATTCAGGCCGTTATCTCTTGTGTCAAATAGAATTATCATTCTTAATTCAAAAGTTTTTCTTTCCTGAATGGATTTGAAATTTCCTTTAAGTGTGGTGGTCTGGTTGTGCGAAATGGTGTCCCACAGGTGTGCAAAAGTCATCTTCTTTATGTTCCTTTATGGTATGTCTGTGCAAATTCATCTTTGTTTGCAACTTCTGTCCTGTTTCACCAACATAAGATCCTTTGCTGCATTTTCTGCACTGGATAAGGTACACAACATTACTAGAGGTGCAGCTGTACTGTATGATCCGGAGATATTGAAGATCCATTTTGAGTGTCTGACACTTTTTGATGGATTGATTTGGTTGCACAGTTTGCAGCGTTTTTTATTGCAGGGTGTGCTTCCATTATTTGTGACATCATAATATAACCTTTGTGTTCAATACTGCTTGGACCTGACGAAGGGGACATTCCCCGAAAGCTTGTCCTCAAAATTGTATGTTAGTGCAAATAAAAAAGTATCATGGACAGTACTCAATTGTTTCTGTCTCAAATGCACTAATACGGCTACAATCACTTCATTTCAAAATTTCAAAATTAGGAGATACGTTTCTGGCTCACATTGTGTGGTGCAATCCTGAACAATTAATAATTCATTATTGCCTTAAAAAGTGACTAGCATTAATTAAATAGGCCCTAGTATGTGTATGTATGAATTTTACATAGTTACATAGTTAGTCTGGCTGAAAAAAGACAAAAGTCCATCCAGTTCAACCATAGAAAAAAAAAGTTATAATCCTATATCCACAGTTGATCCAGAGGAAGGCAAAAAAAACCCCAGCAAAGCACGATACAATTTGCTCCCACTGAGAAAAAAATTCCTTCCTGATCCCCCAAGAGGCAATCAGATATTCCCTGGATCAACTTTACCTATAAATGTTAGTATCCAGTTATATTCTGTGTATCTAAGAAAGAATCCAGGCCTTTTTTGAAGCAATCCACTGAGCTGGCCAGAACCAACTCTTGACAGAGTCTATTCCACATTTTCACAGCTCTCACTGTGAAGAAACCTTTCCGTGTTTGGAGATTAAATTTATTTTCCTCTAGATGTAAAGTGTGCCCCCTTGTCCTCTGTGTTGACCTCAGGGTGAATAGCTCTACACCGAGTTCACTATATGAACTACTGATGTATTAATACATGTTGATCATATCCCCCATTAATCTCCTCTTCTCAAGAGAGAATACATTCAGTTCCTCTAATCTTTCCTCATAGCCGATCTCCTCCATGCTTCATATCAGTTTAGTTGCCCTTGTCTGTACATTCTCACGTTCTCCAATGTTCTTTTTGTGAATTGGTGCCCAAAACTGAACTGCATATTCCAGATGAGTCTTCCTAATGATTTGTACCGGGGTAATATGATATCTCTCTCTCTGGAGTCTGTACCTCATTTAATACAAGAGAGGATTTTGGTCGCTTTAGAAACCGCAGCTTGGCATTGCATGCCATTATTAAGCTTGTGATCTACCAGAACCCCCAGATCCTTCTCCACCATTGATTCCCCCAGGTGTACTCCCCCCCTAGTATGTATGATGCATGCATATTCTTAAGCCCCAAGTGCACAACCTTACATTTATCAACATTAAACCTCATTTGCCACATAGTTGCCCAATTAAACAGTGCATTGAGGTCGGTTTGTAAGTTGAAGATATCCTGTAAAGACGTTATTCCACTGCACAGCTTGGTGTCATCTGCAAAGACTGAAATGAGATTTTTAATCTCATACCCTATATCATTTATAAATATATTAAAAAGTAAGGGTCCCAACACTGAACCTTGGGGTACACCACTGATGACCCCAGACCATTCAGAGTATGAATCATTAACCACTACTCTCTGAATACGATCTTTTAGCCAATTTTCTATCCATTTACATATGGATAGACTTTACCTTACACATTAGCCATGTGTGGGGAACTGTGTCAAACGCTTTTGCAAAATCCAAGTATACCACGTCCTCCGCCACCCCTCTATCCAAGGTTTTGCTCACCCTCTTGTGACGATCGCGGGGTCAGACCCCAGCCCTTCTCACCAAACTCGTGACCAAAGGGCTAGCCAATCTAAAACCGCGCTGTCACGTGCGTAACATTGCCACGCCCCAGCTGCACCCTGCACAAAGATTTTCCAGCTAATGGACCACAATCTGTGTACCGGCAGCCTGGGAGCGATTGTTACTGGGTCAGGTTAATTACGCAATTAACCCTTCACACTGCCACCACCTCCTTTTTGTACAGAGAAAGAGTAAACTCTGCAATATCAGCAATAACACTATGATGTTTGAATAATTGTCTGTATACCACTGTCACCGCAGGTAGGGTATACAGAGGTTTAAACACACACAGTAGCGCTCTTCAGAGACAGGGGTTCTTAGTTTGCATTAAAGAGCTTTAGAAACAGTTCAACACTTTCAGAAAGTAATATTTATTGCTAAAAGGTCAAAAGGGTGCAATAAAAATATTTACAGAAAAAAAAGATGTAGCCAATATATATATATATATAAATATACAGAGAGCAATAACACAGCAAAGAGATAACAGAAAGGAATTTAGAGAGATAAAGTACTTGCCAAAAGCCTTGGTTTAAGCAGCGTTCAAGTATCAGAGCAAAAGGGCCGTCTCCCAAGGGCCGTTACAAGGGAGAATCTTCAACTTCAACTCAACTCAGCTTAACTTTCTGCTCCAAGCATAACAGATTTTCTAGGAACTCAGCAGGGTGTCTCCTTGAAGCAGAAAACCAATCATTTGGGGAGGGTGTTGGGTGGAGACCCCAGCTAGAACCAAAATCCCTCACAAGTTGATATCATGACCCATAACTTACCCTCGGTGCATTTAGCAGCCTTGCAACTAGTAGATTAATATGCAGATGCTTCTGCTGAACATCTAGATATGAAATATGACATACCTGCTGGGACGGTTAAGGAGATATCATTTTCTGCTCTCCTGTAGATGTCAGCTAGGGGGTATAATATATCAGGCGACTTGTATTAAAGTGACCGATCTGAATTTATGCCTGGTTTTTATGTAAGTCTTTCATATTCCAAGATATGAAATCATAGGGGAAAATGGATTTTGAATGTGATGTCTAGTTTTACGACTACCTGGAATGTCTTTGAAGCTCAGCGAAAGACTGGTTTATGGTTTTACGATCCTTCTCTCCAAGCAAGAGTCTCGCAGACATACGGGGGCCAGGCTAATTGGGGTTTATAACCATGTGCTCTCCTGCTGGGCCTTGATGCCTTTTGAACTCAGCATACACACACAGACCACATTTCTGAGGGAGGGGGGAAATCGGAGGAGGGAGACTGATTTGGGAGTAGAAAATGATACAAGATGGAGGCCTTTGCCAAAATGGAGGTTCACATCCATCTCTCTGTGCACTAATGCTACACCTCTCATAAAAAGAAATCAGATTTGTTTGACAACTTCTGTCTTTCATGAATCCATGCTGTCTGTTGCTTAAAATATTTTTTTTCCAGGAAGAACTCTTCTATGTGGTCTTTTATTAAACTCTCCAGTATCTTCCCAACAATAGAATTTAAACTAACAGGTCTATAATTACTTGCTAAAGATTTTGACCCCTCTTTAAATATTGGCACCACACTGGCCTTACGCCAATCCAGTGGTACTATGCCAGTCATTAAAGAGTCCCTAAAAAATTAGAAACAATGGCTTTGAAATAACAGAGCTCAATTCTATAAAGACCTGTGGGTGTATTCCATTCGGTCCAGGTACTTTATTCACCTTTATACTGTCTAAATATTTCTGGATCATATCAATTGTGAGCCAATGTGGATCATCTGGAGCTGTGTCAATACCATGCCCATTAAGGACAAGAGCTCCCCCATGTTCCTTTGTATACACAGAGCTGAAGAAGGTATTAAATAAATTTGCCTTCTCTTTGTCCCCAGTCACCCACTCTAGATTATTTTGTAAAGGGCCTACATGCTCGGACCGAACCTTTTTACTATTAATATATTTGAAGAATTTTTTGGGGTTGGTCCTGCTATCTTTTGCAATCTGTCGTTCGTTTTCAATTTTTGCGGCCTTTATTTCCTTTTTGCATATTCTGTTATATTCTTTGTAATGTTTAAACGATGATAGTGTTCCTTCATTTTTATATTGAATAAAAGCATGGATTGTGGGTTAGGGACCTTAGTTTTTAAGCTCATTGAGTGTTAGTGAATGTACAAGCGTGCGTAAATTGAAATATATGCTATATAAGTACCTGTAATAAATAAATAAAAAATAATACATTCAAATTCTTTTATTATTATTGGTGTTGTTGGTGGCTGAAATAGCAACCATGTTGTGCGGGTTTTCTAAAAAGTTAAAAACCAAAAAACGTATTCTATCCATATGCACATTTTGTCTTAAGCCCCACTCACACTTGGGCCTTAGTGATCTCCAGCAGAACGGCCAAGATTCTGCCCACAATCCCAAAACACTGCAAAAATGACAAATCACACAATGCCTGTTTGGGGGCCGCTCATTTTCAATGACACCTACACACAGTGCTGTTCTGCTGCAATTGTCAAGCAAAAAATCACACTGCAATCAAGCTGCAATTATAGCAAGCTGCATTACGTGAAGCGTGTCTCTCAAAAAAGAGCAGGAGTTTCTTTGGGCGATAGGCCTAGCACGATGAGGTTTGTTGCGATTGCTGCACAAT